GAATTTAATAAAAAAAATATAAGAAAAGATGAACTAATTTAACGAAATAAACTCTAAAAACGAATAGAAAATATCCTAATATGTACAAAAAATCCAAATACTAGAATAAAAAAATCAATAAATAGAAAATGAATACAAATAAAAAGTTGAGGACTAAAAAACAGTTATGTAGGAATTATAGAAGAATTTCTAAGGAAAAAACTAGGATTTTTTATAGTTTTAATAAAATAATATTTTAATGGAAAATAAAATACAACTTTTATAACAATAAATAAAACAAAAAGAAGACTAAATTTAATAAATATAGAAGGAAAAAGATTAATATTTATAAAAAAAAGACTAAGAAATTTAAAATTTAATATAATAGAAAGATGATTAGGAGAAAAATATGAAAAAAAACTAAGAAAATATATAAAAAATAGATTAAAAAAACATAACTTTATAATAAAATATACTTTTTTTGGAAGAAAAAAACAAATAAATTAATAAAGAAAATTAATCTTTATTGAAAAAATTCGAAGAACTCAAAAATTTGATTTAATAAGTTTAAAAATAAATAATGGAAAAAAATGCAGAAAATTAATAATTAAATTAAAATTTATTTTTAAAGGAAAACTAAAATTAAATACTAAATTAATAAATTTAATAAAAAGAAGACAAAATTTAATAAATTTAACTTTTTTTAAAAGAAAAAGATACATAAAATTCCAAAATTTAAACTGAAATAGACTTATTATAAAAAAATAATGAAGAAAAATTAAAAAAAATGATGATTTTGGTAGATGAAAGTGAAAAAAAATCAAAAATTTATCAAGAAAATTTACAAAAAACTAAAAATGAATACTCTATTAACGAAAAAACTTTAAAAAATTAAATTAAAAATATGCAAACAGAAATCATTTTTATGTAAGAATAATTAAAAAAGTCACTTATGGAAAATAATAAGTTCATTAGTGGTAATTAAGAAAAAAATGAGATAAATTCTATTTAAATAAAAGAAAAAGAAAGTGAAATTTAATTACTTAAAGAAGCATTTAAATAAATATAAGAATAATTAAATTAATCAATTAGACAAAATATATAATTTTAATAGGAAAAAGATTAACTTTTATAATAAAAAGATATAAAAATTGAAGAAATAAATTAAATTTAAATAAAAAATTAAAATAAAATAAATAATTATGAATAATAAATTTAAAAATTAACATAGGTAATCATATAAATTAAAATATATATATATAAAAATAAAATTCATTTATATATTTATAAAATATATATTTAAAAAATATATATATATAATCTATTCAAATATATATATATATAATTTAATTCAAATATATAAAATTATTTTAATATTTATTTTAATATTTTAAATATTATTATTAAAATATTAATATATTTAAAAAGGATTATTAAAAGATGAAAGAATATAAAAATAATGAAAATATATTGAAATAAAAAATAAATTAATTAGAATAAATAATTTATTAAATGGATGAAGAAATATAAAATTATTAAAAATAAAATAGTGATTATAATAATAATAATAATAATAATAATAATAATAATAATAATAATAATAATAATAATAATAATAATAATCAGAATATTTAAAAAGTATAATTATTGATAATACTTAAGTATAATAATAGTAATAATAGAATTTATAATAAAATGATGAATAATTAAATGAATTAGGTGAATAAATACTATAATTATTATAAGCTACAAGAGAAAAGAGTGAACATAATAATAAAAATACAAACGAAAATATTAGAAAGTTAACTATAATTGAAGAAAATGAAATAATTGAATGCTTATAAAATGTTAAATAAATAATCTAAACAAAATTAAGAGAAGACCTTATCAATTTATAAAAAGAAGGATAGTCTTAAATTTAAAGAAAAGCTGTTAGAATTAATTTAATGTTAATTTTAAATGTATAAAATATATTATAATATGTATAATTATTTACATATAATTTTTTTAAAACAAAAAAGGAAATTAAAAGCATGCATTAAAAATATGGATTTGATTAATAATTAAAAATAATAGGAAATTAATATGATAGAATTATTTAAATGACAAAATCTATTGATGAATTTATTAGAATGTTTTGTTAGATTTTCCTTTAATATGAAAAAAAAGCTAAACGAACTGACAAATTTTAAACAAATAATGCTTAAAAATGATTATTAATAATTTTTTTTAAACAAAAAAACACATAAACTAGAATTAAGACATATAAATAAAATATTTTTATTTTTAATTATAATATCATTTATATTTTTTAATAAATTTATTTATTTTAATAGTAAATTAAAATGTTAATATTTAAAATAATATAAATTACATATATTGGTTTTTTTTAAAAAAAAAACATTTATATTTTTTTTTTATATTTACTTAAAGGAAAAAATTAAATAAATTAATAAGAAAAAAATAATCATAATGTTTTTTGAAAAATTTGATATATTTTCATCTTCATTCTAATTTAATGTCTAAGGACCTGGCTAGAAATCTAAAAGGACAATCCAAGGAGGAATATTTACAATAACTCTAGTAAGTTTATCTCTAGGATATTTTATATATTTACTAATATAATACTTTTCAAATAACCTATAACCAAAGTATTAATCTAACGAAAAATTAATAAAAAATAACTAACTTTAACTAAAAGAAAATTTCTTTATGTTTTAATTTTTTATAGGAGATATTCCCTTAGATTAACTAGAAGATGAAAAAAACCTAACATATGCTTAGTTTTAAATTAATTATGTATTAAATTCATATTTAAAAAATGGATAAATAAATAGATAATATACATAATTAAAAGCATATAAATGTACAATATCAGGATATGAAGAATATTATTGCTTAAATAAAGATAGAGAGATATAACCTCTTGTAATAAGCTAATAATTATATTCGTATATAGAAATAAGCCTAAAAGAATGTTAAGATAATCAAATAGAATCTACAGATAAACCTAAAAGAACATGCGCACCTAAATAAAATTATTAGGAGGATAACATTTTTGATAATTTAGACAATGTTAGAGAAGTATTATTTAATAATGATAGTGATTTTGATATATATATGAAAACCTATTAATATGATTCTAAAGAGAAAAATTTCGTGGAAAATTTTTCAAACCAAAACTGGATAATTGATAATAATTTGATTATAATTTCTAAACTAATAGTTTAAAAGGGAAATACGTAAATTAAAGATGGAATTCTTTTTAATCTTAGTAAGATTATGAATTTCCTACAAATTATAATAAAAATAATAATTATTTAACTAAAAGTAATATATTATAATCATATTATAAAGGGACTTATTTTTCTTTATAAATTTAACTTTCCGAAACTACACATTAAAATCAAATTTAATTTCCTTTAATTACAGAAGTTTTTGCGATGTTTGCAAGTATTCTAAATGCCCTAATTGCTTTTGGAATCTTAGCAAAACTATTTTCAGAATGGAAAATATTCACAGAAGTGTAAAATATTTATTTAAAAAATTACTATAAAAAAGCAGTTTTAGAAATTTAAAATTCATAGAAGTTAGAGCAGAAATCTGAAAAAAAAGTATTTGTAGATAATTAAATTTAATTATAGTAAAATGATAATAATAATACTGTACAAAATGATGATTTACATTAGTTAATATAATAAGTAAATGAAAAATATGAAAAAATACAAAAGTTTGATTTAGAGATATTAAATGAAAAATTGAGCCTAAAGGAAAAAATAAAGAGGTTTATAAAATATATTATTAATGGAGGACAATCATTTTCTAAGCAGAAAAAAAATTAAGCAAATTTTGATTCATAAATTTAGTAGTTATAAAAGGAATCAATTGAATTAATAACTTTACAGGAATTGTATAAAAATATTATTTAGTTAAAATTATTTATGAAAATAATTCTTTCAAAAAAATAATATGCAGCATTATAATATTGTGGCTCAAATCTAAATATAAAAGATGAAAATATAGATAATAAAAATAAAAAATAATATAAGATTAGAATAATAAAGTTAATGAAAATATTAATGAAATATAAATAATAAATAATAAAAATATTTAAAATAAATATGATAGTAATATAGAGGATAATATTGATAGTAATAGTAACATTAAAAAAATAATAAAAACAAATAAATTAATACTAAAAATGAATAAGAAAGCAATAATAATAATAATAATAATAATAATAATAATAATAATAATAATAACTATTATTAGAAAAATGGAATAATTTAAAATATATTTTAATAAAAAAATTAATAATAAATTATAGTGATAAAAATAATATCTAAATTTTAAATGAAAAAAATTCTTAACAATAAAGTTTTGATAAATATCTTACTCATTTAGAAAAAATGGATAGAATTGAAAATAATTTAGAATTTTAAAAATATTACTTCTAAAAGTTTATGATTAATAATAAAGAAAAAAAAAAAATCTAGATAGTATTAATAAACATATTTTATAATCTATTTATAATACTTATTTACAAAAAAAGTATGATTAAATTCATAATCTATATTTAAAAATATAATATATTTTATAAAAAAAAATTATATTTTTCAGATTTAATTTTGACTTTTTTTTTAATATTTATTTTATATATAAATTTATAATAAAAATAATTTAATATACAAATGAATAGTCATTTTAATCTTAATTTTAAACTTGTCATAATAAAAATTAATGCAGACATATTAATTATTATTACCTTAATAAAAAAATATTATGAATTAAATAATAAATATATATATATATATTTATAAATATATATATATATAAAAATTATATCTTTATATATATATATATATATATTTATTATTATTCTTTTTATTATTTCAATTTATTATATTGCTTTTTAAATTATTTTATTTTTATAAATTATAATAAAATTAATATAATAATGGAATAAAAAACTTCATAAATATTATTATCTCGTGAACTTAATTTAAAAGTTTTATTGTTCTAATTATCTCCTGAATATAAAAATATAAATAAAAATCTTTAAAAAGTCGAATTATCACTTTCTAAATATAACAAAAATGATTAATTAGATATAATAATGTTTCCTGAACTTGCTTTTACAGGTTATATATTTAAAAATTAAGAAGATATCAAACCATATTGTGAAGAATAAAAATAAGGATAACAATATAAATTTTTATCATAATTAGCCAAAAGACTATTTTCTTATGTGTTCGCGGGTTACCCTGAAATTTAAATATAATCAGATAATAGCTAAAAATATTATAATTCTGCCTATTTAATTGATAGGGATGGTAATTTGATTATAAATTATAGAAAAAAACATCTTTTTGAATCAGATAAAACCTGGGCTTAAGAAGGTCAAGAATTTAAATGCGTGGAATTATTAAATTTGGAAAATAAGACATTTAAAGCTGGCTTAGGTATTTGTATGGACATAAACCCTTACGAATTTCTAAATTGTTAATAATTTGAGCTTTCTGATTTCTGTAAAGAATAATAAATTGACGTTCTTTTGTTTCTTTCAGCCTGGAACGATCATGAACCAAATAGAAACGATAGAAATTCAATCGAAGGTCAATTAAATTATTGGCTTTGGAGATTAAGAACCATTATTAATTAAAAAAAGGAAATAAATTTCAATAAAAGTTGGGCTTTTTTATGTTGTAATAGAGTAGGGAGCGAAGAGAGAATTTAAATTAAAGAAGACGAAAAAATTTTAGGAGAAGAATTTAATTTATAAAAATTTGTTTTTTATTCAGGATGTAGTTGTGTGTTGAAAATTAATCCGGTTTAAGTCATTTATAATTTAGATAAAAAAAATGAAGGCGTTTTATTAGCTGATATTAAATTATAATGAATTATTTATTATATATATATAATTTATATTAGTTTCTTTTTATATATATATATATTTATTTAATTATTTTATATATATATATAGTTTCTATTTAATATATTAATTTTTTTTACTTTAAATAAAAAATATCAATAATAAATATGGTGTTTTTAGATTTAATAATTAGTGTAGAGAGCGAAAATTTAGAAAAAATCTATATTTAGGAAAATAGTTAGTGGTATTTTAGAATTAAATGTACTCAATGTCATAGTGATCATGATAAAGATATTTATTTTTCGGAAAATGATGAAATTGAAAGTAAAAAAACTGGAAGAAATACAGTAAATTTTTAGTTTGTATGCCCTTCATGCAAAAGAGATGGTAATATAAGCATTATTAAAGAAAGTATTAAATAAATTGACCTTTCTAATGATAAAACAAAAAATGTATTAGCAACTTTTGATTGTAGAAATTTAGAAATTACTGAATGGTTGCCTATGTTGAGTGTATGTGTAGTTGCAAAAGAAACTGGAACAGTTTTCAATGAATGTGATTTGTCGGATTTACCTTGGTGTGATTATGATGAAAAAAGTGAATAAACTGTTCAGATTAATGTATTTGGATAATTAATTAATAGAAACAACAAATTGAAATGAATGTATTTTGAAAAGTTTTTTTAATTATATAAATATATTATAATATTTAATTAGCATTCTATTTTTCCGAATAAAAAAAAATTATAAATTTTTTAAATATTAGAAAATAATTATAAATAAAAATAAAAATAAATATTGAAAAAATATATATATATATATATATATATATAATTATATATTTCATCAAAAATATCATTATTTTAAACTAATTTATTAATATATTTACTTAATTTTATTATTTCTTTTTTTAATATTTTTTTCAATCTTTATAATTTTTTTAAAAAAATTTGAAAGTTTTTTAATCCTTTTTTTTTTCTATAATTATAATTTCTAATTTGTGGGTTATCATTTTTATCTATTATAAAATTATTATTTTATTTATGCTTAATTCATTTCTAATATAAATTTTTTGATTAATATTTAAAACAGTATTATTTATATTATTAATTAAATCTTTATAATGTTATTTCTTATATATGAATTAAGATTTGAACTATAATATTATGTAGCGGCATATTATATTTTTTTTGAAAGAATAATTTTTATACATAATTTTAATGAAATAATATTCTATTATAATTAACATATATTATTGAATCTACAAATCTATAATCTCAGTCAGTAATAATAAGAAGCAAAAGTTTTTTTAATGTTTTTTTAATAGTTTGAGAAAGGAGATAAATTTAAAAGATTAACTACAAATTTTTTAAATTATATTGGTTTTAAAAAAAAATTAATAAAAAAATTATATTCATTTTTTATTATATTAGTAAATAAATATATATATATTAAAAAAAATATTTAAATTAATTAATATATAAGGAATTTTTTATTAGAATTAAATAATAAATAATATACAACTAATTATTTTTTAAAAAAATTATTTAAATTGTAAAGATTATATAAGAGAAAAAATAATCTTAATTTATTTATAAAATAATTATTACTTTATATATATATTTTTATGTATATGTAATTTTTCAAAATACTCGATTTAGGCATTAATTCTATATAATAAATTAATATTTTTTTCAAAATTAAATTATTAAAATCAACTATAATTAATATCATTTCTTAATTATTAAAAAAAATAAAATTACAATAAAAATAAAAATCATAACATATTTTAGTTCAATATAAATACATTATTATTCTAAATGTATATAAAATAATAAAATAAAATATATAATATATATTAAAATTTATACTATTCTAATTATTTTGTTAATTATTTTTATTTTCTAATAAAACTTTTTATTTAAGATTTTCTAATTCAAATTTTAAACATTGTATGTCTTATTAATATTATTTTATTTATTTTTATTAACTATCATATTTTATTTATAAATGAAAATATTTATCTTAATATTAATTTTATGAACTTTTATATATATTTTTATATAATTAATTTAAATTTTGAATAATGTACTTAAGATTTCTATTATTATCATCATTATCAATATATTGAATGATTTTTTATCCAAAAGAACTGCTTCCTTTACTTTAATAATAAGAAATTTATTTATTATTTATTTAAGCAGAAGATTCTAAATATTTCTAATTACTATATTCTTAACTCGATTAATTATAGAAATACTTTTTTTAAGAAATTATAGGACTATTAAAAATATCATTTTAAACTGTGTTTTATTTAAAATTTTATGAAGTTTTTAATGATATATTTTAAGATAAATATAATGATTAATTTCTTAAAAGAATATTTTAATTATTTGGTGAATTAAAAATAGTATTTTATTATTTATTAAATTAAAAACTTATTAATAAAATAGACTCATAATAGAGAATCTTATAAAAAAATATATATATATATATATATATATATATATATATTTATTTATTTTATTATCATATAATTTTTTTTAAAAATTTTCTTAAGTTATATTTTATTTTATTTTTTTTATTTTGGTATATTAATTACATCGGATTTATCATTTTAAAAAAATTAAATTTTAATTTTATCTTTCATTCTTATATTTAATTCCGTTTTCTTTTTTTTAGTTTATTTTTTTAATTTTTGATTTTATTTAAAAAAAAATTAGTATAAACTTTTTTTTATTTGTTATTAAAAGTTAAGTTTTTTTTTTACAGATTTTGCTATTATACTTGCTTCAATATTTATTGTTTATTAAGGTTATATTTCTCCGTTTTTCGGGTATATTTGGAAAAATTCTTTTGAAGTTACTAAAATCTTTAAAAAAATGTTTAATTTATAATTTTTATTATTTACTCTGAAAAACTTATTTTCTTTTGAACGATTTTATATTGTCAAACCCCCATTTATTTAATTTAGATTTACGTAATTAAAAATTATTTCATTTTTTGGAAAAATAAATATATCTTGCCTTAAAAAATAAATATATTTTTATCAATTTTAAAAGCAAAAGCTTTTATAATAATAATTACTTAGAATTATTCATTTTTTGTTATATTATTGTTTAAAAACTTTTTCAATATTTATTTTTTTAAGAAAAAAAAAAAAATTAAATTAAATTAAATTTTTTTAAAAAATAAAGAAATAAAGTAATAATAATAACATAAAAAAAATATAATAAATAATTTACAAAAAAACAAATAAATATATTTATTTTTTTCAATTCTCGCTAATAATAACATCTCTAGAAGAACTAAAAAACTACACATATAAAGCTCCAATTCCATAAATCAAAGAAAGAACTCCAAAAGACCCAATAATCCCATAAAAAAATATCGAATAACTTTATGAACTTTACTCTAAATTTAATTTTTTATTGAAAGATTCATTTATTATTTTCTATTACTCATTTTAAAAATATTCTTAATCTGAATCATCTGCTTCATAATTAATAAATAAATCATTTTTTTCCTAATTTAGTGTTCCTTAATATAATATTTTTTCTAATTATAATTCCTAATTATCTATTAGTCCTATTTTCGAAAAGTTTTTCTTTAATCTAATCATTAACCCATTTTGACCATGATAAGCTTTAAAATGAAGAGCTATAGGAATTAAATAAACTGTAAAAAAACAAGTAATCGCCCCATTAGCATTCATAAGGTCATCTTATTTTATTTAAGGTAGGTTTTATATTAAAATACACATTCCTAAAAATAGAACATTTATTAATTTTATCATATAATTCGGATAATTTTAATCACCGTAAATTAATTAAAAAATCTTGTTTTGCATATACTAAAATATAAAGGAAAGCAAGTAATAATATTTATTAAATAAAGAATTTATACAATTAAAGGAGAAATCTACATAATATTATAATATTATTAATTTAAAAAAAATAAAAATACTTCACTTTTTTAAAAATAATCATTTATATTTTAAATTTATTAACTATGAGTATTTCTTCCTTTATATAAATATATTTATATTTATATTTTTAAAGCATATATAATACCTAAAATACCTAAAGCTCCGAAAAATCCAATTATAAAATAAACAATAAATGTTACAAAAAACGATATTTTTTAGATCTCTTACATTATTCTCTTATTTCTTATTTTATTTAATAATAGGCCCTATAGTAGTATGTGCTGAAAAGCTATAGCGGCCATTCCTGAAACTTTTCCTAAATCCCATGTCCAAATTACTATTTTTTCCGAGTTTTTAGAAATATTATTATCATTAATATTACTGAAAAATACATAAAAAATGAAAAATATATAAGCGTATATTGAATAAACACCTTTTTCTGAAATATTTACAAGCAATTTAGTGTTTTTTATAAATATTAAATACGCGCAAGGAATTATAGTTATATATTCCACTGTTTATAACGAAATTATGTCATATTTGAATGACTCTATAGGTGCATAATTATAATTTCCTGTTTTATACATAAAAAATGTTATTATTCTATAAAACATATTGTTTATTAACAAAAAATACTATAAAACTACTAATAATAAATACACTACGCTTAATATTTGGAAAAATTTCCACCATTTTATTCCTAAAATTCTTAATATAGTATCTTGTATATCTGCTTCCTTCAATTTTAAATTATCTATTAGGATATAGCATGTTTTATATGCAATAAATCCTTATAAAATTAGGATAAACACACATGATAAATAACCACATTAGTTAAATTAAATTGGAAGTATTAATATGGCACCTCCTACCATTGAATTCGTTAATGAAAATATAGTTTGGGCTGATGTATTTTTTCCTTAAATTTTCATATATATTGATTAGATTTATTTATTAAATTATATTTAGAATTATTATTGTAAATATTAATTTAATTTGTATTTTTTTTAAACAAAAAAAAACAAAAAAAAGTGATTATTCTATTAAATCTTTAGTCAATGAGTTTATATTTATTATAATAAATATTTAATTTTACTAAAATAAAAAAACAAATTAAAATATAATTAAATTAAGACTTTTTTTATTAATCAAAAATACTATTTTTAATAATATAAAAAAATATGCCAATAATAATTAAATTAATACTAAATATTAAAAAGAAATATATAAAAATGTCAAATTTTTAGAGGTATTTCGAAGAATATTTTTAATTTTAAATAAAAAAAAAATTAATATATTGCATAAAGTTCCAAAAAAATAAAAATATTAAAAAAAATGTCAATTTATTTAGATTAATAGAAAAACTATATATATGAAATCATATAAAATACTTTAATATAATAATAAAATATATTAGCCTAATCTTTATAAAAAATAGCTGAATTAATGAACGTAATTAACTAAATAAACTAAAGTTTAATAAATAATAACTTAAATCTAGTATATGAACCTTTTTAATAAATAAATAATATTTTATTTGATATTATTAAAACTATTTAAGATCAATTTAATTTAAATACTTAATAAAATTAAATTTACTTATAATTTAAAGTAATATCTTAAGAACAATGTATATAAAAAAGCACTGAGTTTTAATTACCTTTATAAAATAATAATTAAATTTCAAACTAATTTTTTAATTTAAAAATAGAAGATTTGAGTTAAAATTAATAAAATGATAAATCTTCTCTTTCAAATATATTAGAAATTGAAAAAAAATACAAAATTGTAATTCCCTAAGTTTTTAAATAAGCGAAAACTTATAAAAATTAAAAAATAATTTCAAAATTAAAAACTAAAGATATTTAAGAATTAAAAAAAACATATTATATGATAGATAATAAAGAAGATTTTCATAAAATTTTAGGAATTCATTTAAAGACAGCAAAATAAATTATCAAAAAACTTAAATGCGTTCATGTAAAAGGATTATATATGAAAAATAAAGAAAATTAAAATAATAAAAATTGAAAAAAAATATATTATATTAAATAAATATAATTTGTAATATAAATATATATATAAATATATATATAAATATATATATAATTATATATATATAAATATATTTATATTTTATTTTAATTAATTTATTATTTATAAATTTATATATTTTAAAATTAAAGTTTTATATTTTTTTATAATATAATAATGTTTTAATAATTATCTTTTTATTCTTTTATTTTTTAAAAAGTATATTGTGATCCTCTCTTAAATTTTAAAAATTATTAAAATTTAATGTGATTTTAATTAATTTTATTTTATTAATTAAAATTAAAAAGTATATTTAATATAATAGAATTTTAATATTATTTCTTTATAAATTATATTTAATATTTTGAAATAAAATTATATATAATATGTATTTATATATTTTTATTTTTTATTATGTGTCTGAAGAAAATCTAATTTTTGCTATCCTATATATATGTTATTTTTTAATATTTTTTTTAGTTGTTTTAAAATTTCTTCTTCTATAGATTTTTATTTCTTTTCCAATTTTTTTTTATCTAATTCAATACTTAAGATTATTTTTTGTATTTAAAAATATTTGATAGTATTCTTTTTGGCAAATAATTAACCTTATATTAAATTTTATTACAAACTTTATAAAAACACTAATCTATAAATATTTAATTTATTTATTTTAATATAAGATTATAAAAAAAAATATATGTATTTAAAATAATATTTTGTTAATAAAATCATTTATATTTTTTATTTCAAATAATTTCTTAATAAACTAAATTTATATTTTTTATAATTTTATATTCTATATTAAACTATGGATAGTTTTAAAATAGTATCATTTCTGATTGATAATGTAATATATTAAGTATTTACTTTTATTAAAATAATTGTGATTTAATATATAAAATATGTTATAGATTTTCAAAAATAATTTTGAATAATTTTTATATAATCATTTATATATATTTTTAATTATATATTTATAAGATTTATTAAAATTTAACTTATTATATTTTTATCACTTTTAATTTAAATATTTTTATAAAAAAAATTCTTATTATTTAGCAAAATAGACTTTTATAATATGAATATAAATAATTTTTGTTTTCTTTTATTTTATTTTGAATTAAATAAGTTAATAATTTTAAATTTTAAAGCAATAATTTGTAAAATACAGTAATAATTTAATAAATAAATTTGATTTTTTTGAAAAATCAATATTTAAGTTGATTTATAATATTTAAAAATGATTTTTTAATATAAAATGGTAGTTTTATTTAAAAAATTATTAATTTTTATTTTAAAAATTTTATTTAAAAAAAAAAATAATGTTGAAGTTAATAACAAAATATTATAATGTTTTAAAAAAATATTATATAATAAATTACATTATTAAGCAAAAAAAATATATATTTTGATAATTATAAATAAAGAAATATTCTATTTTGGTTTATGCCACTCCTACTAACAATTTTTTCAGTTACTATATATATACCACACTAATAATTTCAATTTATTCCAGCAGGATCATCTGCATGTTAGTGAAATAATAAGTATTAATTTTTTTTTAATATAATTAAATATAGAAGTAATTTTTTATAAATAACATTATTAATATTAATTTTTATTTTTATTAATAATTCATATTTTAAATATTATATTATTAATAATATATATTTAAATATATATATATATATATATATATATATATATATATATAATAATTATATTTTTTTGATTATATTTTATTTAAAAAAAAACTAATATATATTGAAAAAATCTGTATTAATATGTTTAAAAAGCTTATATTATTTCAAGTATTAAAATTTATATAATTAATATAATTGTTTGTCTTTAGGTATAAAAATAATTAAATAAAATAGAGTAAAGCAATTATAACCTTAAAAAACTAACAAATAAACCAAAAACTTTTATTAAATTAGCTATAATATATTTGTATACTCTAAGGTTTCTATAATATCTGAATCCACTAATAATTTTTATACCATCATGCTTGATATGAACATTAATTATATTTCTTTAATTTTATCAGTGCAACTCCCAACCCAAATAATTAAAGAATACATAAAATAGTAAATCTTATATTATTTATAATTGAGTGAACCTACTCTAAATTTTCATTTAGATTAAAATAGAATAATTTATAATTTAGTATATTCGAATTTTTAAATATAAAAAATAAATAAAAATGAATAATTTTAAAAATATATAAAAATAATATAAAATTTTTATAATAATAATGTAAAATAAAAAAAAACAAGTTCATAATTTAGCATTTTATCTCGAAACAATTTAATAAAAAGCTTTATGTCCTTATTAAACTTCTTCAATTTTTTACATATTTTAAACCCACTTAGAAATATTTTCATATTTTGAAAAATCATAATTAACAAGTTAAAGTTAAATAATTTCACAAAAGGCACTAATATCAGCTAAGCTAAAATTTTCAAAACCAAAAAAGAATTTTCCATTTTTCAAATAGATATCATTAATAAACTACAATGCGTTTTCCATTTCCTATTTAAAGTTTTTAGCTATATCCTAATAATTTTCAATTTATAATATTTTTCCATAAAGCAAATTATAAAGGAATCCTGCACATTTCCTAGTATTTTAATGATGCCAATCTAAATAACTATTAATTAGAGCTTTTTTTTAAATATCATTTGGGTAAAACTAGTAATTCTAGGCTTTTTCACACATATATCTCATAATAGAATGAGATTCATTTAAAATAAAATGTCCTTCTTTTACAAAAGGGATTTTCTAAGCAGGATTTAATTTAGTTATACCTTCTGATTTGTGTTCTAATTTAAAAAGTCGAATATATTTTATTACATGAGGAATTTTTAAAAGTAAAGCTAGTATATAAATAGCACGTGATGGCTAACTTATCCAATCTATATATAATTCCATTTTTTTATTTTTTAATTAAATATTTTTTTGATATTATTAAATAATATATAATCTTATAAATATTTATTTTAATAATAAAAGTGTTATATTACGCAGTATTAAAAATGTGTAATATAAAATAAAATATATATATATTTTTAAATTATAAGATATTCAATTTATTCATTTTATAAAATATCAATTAAAAAAAAATGTAAAATTAAATCAATATATATTCTGATTGTGAAGAATTACAAAAAATCTATGAAGCATTATTATGCTCATTTGTAAGATTAAGTGATATTTTAAAATATCATACGACAGGAAGATAAGAAACAGGCTAAATAAATACTTTCGGAGACATCCAATTAGACTGTGATACACACACAGATCAAATAATATTTGACGAATTAAAAAAAACAGGAGTAGTAGCATACGCTTTAAGTGAAGAAACTCCATAAGTAAAATTTAATTTTTTTTATTAAAATAAAAAAATTTGAAGCCTGTAAATTTAGGAGGAAACAAATATATTGTTACTTTTGATCCTTTAGATGGAAGTTCAATAATAGGTACAAATTGGACTGTAGGAACAATTTTCGCAGTTTGGAAAAACGATGAAAAAATATTGATCGGACATAGAGTTAAAGAAATAGTAATTTCAGGGTGTTGTCTATATGGGCCAAGGACAACTGCTTTAATATATAATTAAAAACTAAAATCGGTAGAAGAGCTATAATTAAAACGTATTATTTATAATATAAAATATATATTAAATATTTTTTTTTTATTAATAAAATAAAAAAAAAGTAAAATAAGATAATTCCTTATATTGGGATGTTACTCATATTTCTTGTGTTATTTAACCAAAAGGAAATATTTTTGCGCCTGGAAACTTAAGAGCTGCAAGCGAAAATATAGGGTACAAAAAATGTATTGATTATTGGATGGATAATGGTTATACTTTAAGGTATACAGGAGGAATGGTTCCTGATGTATTATATATTTATTTTTAAATAAATAAATTTTAATTTTTAGATTTATCAAATTTTTATTAAAGGAAAAGGTGTATTTACAAATATTTCTTCGATAAATCATAATGCTAAATTGAGGTTTTTTTTTTAATTAAATGCTTCGTTTTTAAAAATAATATATAGGGTATTATATGAAGTTGCACCTTTAGCTCATTTAGTTGAAATGGCAGGAGGAAAAAGCAGTGATGGTAAAAACTCGTTGATGGAATTAGAAATTACAGGATATGATTAGAGATCGGAAATTATTGTAGGAAGCAAAGATGAAGTTGAAAAAGTAGAATAATTCCTAAATGAAAAAATATGAAATAATAATAATATTATTTATTTTATGCTTATAATATTGAGTTAATAAAGTATTTTCGAAATGAATATATTAAATTATATGTATAATATAACAAAAATAAAAATAATAAAGTACAAATTATTGATATATAAAATAATCATTATAAGATTTATATATTAATTTTAATAATTAATTTATATATATATATCTTTTTTTTAAAAAATATATATATCATGTTTTTTTTATATTAAATACTATGAAATATTTGTTTTAATAATTAATGTAAATTCTTTAAAATTAATACATAAAATAAAAATCTATATAAAAAAAAATTAATAATATTATATTAAAAAGAAAAAGAAAATTAAACGCTATATTAAATAAAAAAAAAAACAAAATGAATAAAATTAAATCAAACCAAAATAACAATAAAATATTATTTAACAAAAAAATCTAAAATAATATGATTTATTTAATTTATAATTAAATTAGGCCTTCCAAATTTATTATTTTCAAAAAAAAAAAATCCCTCAAATTAAATTAAAAAGAGAAAATTTAAAAAATAAATATTTAACCTTTTTCTTATAAATTATATTATTATTTTAATTTAAATATTTATTTAATTATAAATAATAATAAAAATAAAAATAAGTTTTTTGATAAACATAATTTTATCCAAATCAACCTCTTTTAACAATTAATTTTTGCAATTATTAACATAATCATCTTTTTTTATAAAAATATATATATATATATATATATATATATATATATATATATATATATTTATATATATATATATGTATATATATTATAAAAATATTTTCCTTATTTTTATAAAAAAATAATTTAAATATTAAAATTGCTTGACACTATAATTTCTAAAATAATTCATATTAAAAATATGAGGTTTTTTTAATTTTTTCTTTTTGTAAAAAAAATGATATTTTTTTTTTTAAATATCATAAAATTATTTTATTAAAATAAAAAAAAAAGAGTTAATTATATTTATAAAAATATTTTTTTTTTTTTTTTTTAAATTTAAAATATTTATTTATTTATAAAATAAATATTTGTTTTTTAGCTATAAAAAAATGGGTAATAAATAACAAAAAAGTAAAAAAAAAAAAATATAATTAAATGATCCAATATATCTATAATATACATAAAAATCTGAATAAAATTAATAATCTTGTTTAAAATCAATAAATATAAATGAAAATATGAATTAAATATTACGTAAATTTTATTAAAAAAATAAATTAAATAATAAATATACAAAGATAAATCTTCTGATTAAATAATTGAAAAGTCAATATATAATTTCAAAAAAGAAAAAATTAGAAAAAAACTAATGAATGAACTATTATAAATAACATAATTTTAAAACTAATATATAGAAATTAAATCTTTATAAGAAGTATTTTTTAAATTTTTTTTTTTTTTATAATAAAATAAATAAAGATTAATTATCAATTAAATTATCCTGATATATATGTAAGAGTGAATAATTAACAGATATAATTGTTAGAAACAACAAATTATTAAACATGTATTCCAGAAAATAATAAAGAATAATAAATATTGTCCCAAAAATCCCAGAATTATTTAAAAACATTAGAAAAATCATAAATAATATAAGATTAAAAATAAATAATAGACCAAACAATCCAAAGCATAATAATAGAGTAAGAAAAAAATATTTTAATAGAAAAATGCTAAAAAAGCAATGTATATTTTCAATCGAATTTATCCCCAATATAAACAAAATAAAATTCTTAAAAAATAATATAAGAATAAGATAACGAAAAAGAAAATAAAAGTAAAAAAATGAATACAAACAATAATATAGAAATAAAAAAAAACATAGAAATAAAAGACTTAAAATAATAAAGAAAATAAAAAAAACAAAATATAATATTAATTGATAAAAATCCAACAAAAACTGCTCATTTTAAACTTTTAAAAAATAAAAGTTTTTCCTATATGAAAATAGAAAACAAAGAAAAAAAGCCTTATAAAAAGAATTTCCTTTAAAAAAAAAATAATGATAAAAACAATGAAATATTCCTTTTAAAATATAATGAAAATGACATTATAAAAAATAATTAGAAAAAATATTAAAATAAAAAAAGAAAAGAAATTAATTTAAATGATTAAGATATTGTTTAAAAAAATAAAGTAAAAAATAAATATAATTTAAAATCTTCTTATAGTCCTAATAATATACATATGTATTTAAACAAATAATATATGGATTATAGTAATAATTAATAGTATATAGGGGTAAAATATAATTCAGAAGATAAATAAATTATAGATGCTAGTAAAAGATTCTATTGGAAAAAAATAATTAAAAAAAATTCGGACTCTTAATTTAAAAATGAATAAAAAAATTTATAAAAATGTCTTATCTTATTAAAAAAGTCAATTTATATAAATAAAAATCAAAAAAATAAAATTATGTAACCTACAAGAATTTATGATGAAGTTATTGAAAATAATAATAGTAAATAAAAAGAATTTATATAAGAAGATATAAAAAAATAGTAATAACAAAACAATTATAATAGAGAAAATAAATTTGTAAATTAATATATTAAACCTAATTGGATGTTAAATGATGTATTTAAATATAATATATATATAGAGAAAAATATATATATATATATATATATATATAAATAATTTTATATATAATTATTTTATAAAGATATATTTTTTTTTATTAAATAGTTAAAAAATATAGATAATGAATAATAGTTATTAAATAATTGAATATTCAATATTCAATATAATTTTTAATTTTTTTTATTTATTTATTTTTTTAGTTAAATTTATATTTTATCATTTTATTTAATATTATTTTTAATTAACATATAATATTTAATTTTTTTTTTTTATATAATATTAAGATTTAATTTATTTATATTAATTATAATATTTATTGAATTATTTTATTATAAAATAAAAAAAATTGTAAAATTTTTAGAAATAGTTAAAATATAAATAATATATATAAAATAAAATAAACATTTAATAAAGAAAAAAATTTAATTTAAAACACAATTAATAAATTATAAATAATATCTAATCTATATTTTAAAGCAAATATTATAAATTATTAATAAAAAAAAAAAGAAAAAAACTCTATATAAAGAAAATAAATAAACTCGAATTTTCATAATCCAATTTATGTAAAATAAACCAATTTAAATAAAACTAATACACTAAGGTAATTGTTATCGAATATCCAAATCCCCAAAAACATATAATGACCTTGAATAAATAGCAATTTAATTTATTCAAAATAAATAATCACTAGAAAATTTAACATTTAAATACGAAGATAACGAAAAAGACTCCATAAATATAGAAAACGAAAATGATTTTGAAGCTTTTTATTTATATTGTATTGAAAATCAAATAGAATCTATAAAAATCCGTTTAGATTTAAAATCAAATAAATATTATCTCGATTATAAATAAATGTAAGACACAAATATACATATAAACCCTTATTACCCTTTTTATAAAGGTTTACTATGTAAAATATCTCCATAAAATTTCATAAATTAATATTAATAATAAATTATACCATAACAGAATTTTACATTTCTCGAAAAGCCAACATAATCAATATAAGTTATCCCCGAAATCCCTTAAAAGCAAGAAAACAACTAAATTCTCTCAAGCCAATTCAAACGTGTTGATTCTTAATTAGAACTTGAAATAATAGAAAATCTATCTGAAAAAAAACCTTAAGAAATTTAAAATAAAACACAATAAATAATAATACCAAAGTCGAATCCCATAAAAGTTCTATAATAAGACTACGATTAATATATTATATGTATTAAATGCTTAAAAAATCCTAATACTCCCATAAACTCTTCCCTAAGATTCGTTCCATATGAAGAATGTGATATTTGTTAAGGAAAAGGTTATTTTACACTCGATAATTCTATTAAAGAAATTCTTCCAATTTTAAAATCTATAATAAATGAGAAATTAAAATTTTCTGAGAATTTTTTTAAATCAATGTACATAAAATAATAAAAAATAGAAGAAAAAATAATCTCTAAATAAAATTTCTCATTTTTAGAAAATTTATTAATATAAAAAAATAACAAAAAATGCTCAGAATGTGAAAAAAATATTTTCGTAAATGAATTTTTCTACTTTTGCCTAGACTGCGAAAAAGCTTAATATTTATTTTGCGAATTTTGTGAGTAAAAACATTAGATTTCTCATAAATTAGTTCAAATTTCCTCCTAAGATAATTTATAATTAATTAATTAAGAAAAAAAAGAATAAAACCCACTCTTTAACTCTTTCTAATAAATAAATAAAAGCTCTTTTCATAAATAAATATAAATATAGATCTCAGAACTTGCAACAAACACCAAAAATAAATCCTATGAGGTCTTTCCTTCTGATAATCCATTACACGAGGAAGATATTAAGTTCAAAATTACACCCGAAATACCAAAATTACCAAAATTGCCATCATTTAATCTTAAAGATTCATCTTTTTAAATAAAAAATTTCAAAAAAGTATCTCTTTAATAGGAAATATCAAAAGCCACAGCCACCTTTAATTAAACAGCTATAGATATGTCTACGTCCTTAGAAAAATTCAATAGAAATTATTAGCAATCCCCACAAGTAGAAAGTTAAATAATCTTCGATAACATTTAATTTTAAGAAAACTAAGTAAAAGGCTTTTAAAGCAATTTAAAAAATGAAGAAAACAAATTAAGAGATTCCGAAATTATACTAAGAAATTCGTAAAAATCGAGATTATCAGAAAGTTAATCAAAAAATTCTGAAAATTAACTGAAATTCTAAAATTAAAATACATAAAAAAAATATTAAAATCTAACAAAATTTTCATTAGAAAATACTTAAAATATATCAGAAAATTCTTAAATAAATTAAAAAATATTAGAAAATTCACAAAGAAATTCAGAAAATTAATTAAAAGTTTCATATGAAAATTATTCAAATAACTCAGAAAACATTTAATT